TGTAGTGTAGCCAGAGTGTAGTATATGTAATTGTCATTCGCATTGTCTGCAGCAGCAACTTTTAGGGTTTTTTCTGGCTTGGCTGAAGCAATGGCCACGAGACCACGCTGCTGAGTGATTCAACTGACCGACAGAGGCCCACTCTAGCCCGGATAGCAGGCTGCTATGCTAAAGCCTAAATCAAGGCTAAAGGCCATCATTACGCTCAGAGTCCAGCAGTTCCTTCCGCTACCTCAATAACTATCTGGACTAATATTAACTCAGACTGTTAGTGACTACACAGAGGCAGATGAGTGATTACTAAAAGAAGCCTGGCTGAGTTATTCAGGTAAGAGACTCCTGTTAGTGTGTTTTTCCCATGAAATACTGCTGTTACAGGTTTTGCCATGAGCATTTTTACTGCTAGTCATTCCACACCACCGGCGTGTTAAGCCCTGTCTACTGGCATTAATGCACTTGTCAGCGTGTCAAAAATTCTTCATAGTGTCAGTCATAGGTATCGCTATCTCCATCGGCAATACCATACCATGTTTAAGTGCCAGCATTGGCACTGGTTCCAATACAGTATAACTGTAGTTTCTGACAATTGGATTTATGTAATCCAATGCAAGTAATATGTATGTAATATATATATATTACTTGTGTGTGTGTGTGTGTGTGTGTGTGTGTGTGTGTGTGAGAGATATATATACACACACACACACACACACACACACACACACACACACACACACACACACACATATATATATATATATACACACACACACACACACACACACACACACACACACACATATATATACATATACACATACATATACACACACACACACACATATATATACATATACACATATACACATATATATATATATATATATATACACATATATATATGCATCGTTTAGTACTGGCTCCATAAGGTGCATAATGCTTGGACCCTGAAAATTGACACTTGTGATACAGATCCACAGAAATTAACATGTTCCACATGAATTTCAGATGCATACTAAAAGAAAGCTTACTTGGTTGCTAACAATATTGTTTAAAAGTGATTAAAGAAAGAATTCTGAAAATGTGAAAATAAAACCAACTGCACTGCTCACAAAACACGGCTCTTTTCACTTTTTGGTAATGTTATGTTAGTTCTGATTCACCAGTGAATATAAATACTACATTCTTTTAGAATTCTCAGCTGGCAGTACACACCAGTTGTACTTTCCAGCAACGAAAAAACATGATCGCATGGCCTTCTCATCTGAACGTGTTCTTTTGAGCATTTCCAGATATTAGTAAGTAATTCACTTTGAAAATTACATGTTAATGTTGCAACAACGTGAACTGGATGTGTTTTCATCTGGTGAGTCAAGGCAAATGCACTTAAATAAAAGAAAGCAGAAAACGCATTTATAAAGACACATCATGGGTCTTATGAAAACAACAATAAGTTTTATTTTTTTGTTTATTTGAGCTCAGATAGGAGTAACTATCAAGAGCTATTAAGCAAGACAGATGATCAGACAAATTGGCCAATTCATACTTATACTTTATACATACATTTAACAAAAAAAAGCCAGTTAAATGGTTTGTATGGCAAACAATCCACAGCTAAAATTTCAGGATTTTTCAGGACAAGCCTGAAAGATGGTACGATCCACAAGAACTGTTTCTCAAAAAAGTACATAAAGAACAAGGATAACGCATCATATGGTGACGGTATCAAATTGCCAATTACTCTGAAATTCACACCATTAGTTCGTAAAAGGACACTACAACAAGAAACATGGACAGATGTCCTTCTAACCCTGATGGTGCTGCTGTTTGATATGGGAGGGATTTACAGCGTGTGGAAAAATTGGGAAGCTTGATAAAACTTCTTCAAACACAACTAAAAGCACATGTAAAGATCCACAGGATTCACAGGTCAGCGGCACAAATGGGCACTGCACATACCTTAAGGCTTGTAGTTCTAGAGCAACGTGACCAAGTTAATGCCTAACAAAGCTGATTTACTGGAAAACTGGAATTGCATGAAGATGTTTAGTTTTGTAGAAAGAAACGATTAAAAAAATCAATAGGCAATGCGATAATGTGCAACAGATAAGCACCTCATCAATATTAGTCTAGGCTAACAGTAGACCTAACTCATATTTTGAATCCTTGTGTGCAGTGTGTGCATTTAGAGGCCAAAGAATTGCACTGGACATAGAAACCATGGTAACAGTTGTCACTATACAGTCCAGATCAGTCACAGCAATGGGATAGCATCATTAACTGGACAAAAGCAGTGTGTAAAAAAAAAAAGTAGGCAAAAGGGTAACACAGGAAATGCAAAGGTTGAAAAGAAGAGTTACTCATTTTGCAGAATTACTAGGGGTAGCACTGAACCAGAATAAGCAAAGCAGTCATTAATACTCTATTGGAATATAGACAATAAAAACAAAGATTTTTTCTGTATGATTTTGTATGTTTGAAAATAGCCTGATTTTTTTTTATTTTCACTAAAAAAAAATAAAAATAACAATTGAATATGATTATAATAGATACCAAAATCAATGCAGTGGAATCATCACCTTTGTGCATTTTTACAACCCTTGTATTTGGGCAATACCAAAAAGCTTTGGCATTTTGTTGTCCTCATCAACTGAACCTCAACCTCATCTCGTCAGAGGAAGCTGAGTCGTCTAGCTAAAAAGTGCATGACAGGGGTGCCAGACTGAAACCGCAAAGTGAAACAAACTCAAAGCTTGCAAGTTTGAAGATGACTGTGCGAGGCCAAGATGAAACTGATAACACATCTCAAACCACAGCATTGCATTCTAAGCAGTGGATAAAAGATGTTATGGGGTTTATGATGGAATTGCTCACCAAGAAACACTGGCACAGCCTCTACCCTTTCACAAGGTGAGTGGTGATTGGTTTAACACTAGCCACAGATTTCACTCCTGCCAAGATTACAAAACCAAGCCAACTACATGCAGGAGAAAGCCCATGAGAGCAAAAATACTTTTCACACAACTGGGGCTGACATAATTACTCAATTAAATTACAATAACTTGATTGTAAAAATGTGCTTCATGAAATTTAATCTAGACAATGATTAGTTACAGTCTTGTGTAATGATAATGCATAGTTTGTATTCCCCACTGGACTGTTTTACAGTAAGAAACAGAGCCTGACAGACAAATGTATGCATCATTTATAATAATGTTGCACAATGGTATCGGAATCATATCGGTATTGGCATATAATTGCTTTACATAAAGTATCAGCATCAGACAGATGTTTAGATATACTCAATATTTGATGACATATTTATCATTAAACAACTGCTGGACCTCTGTGCTAAAATGTCGGCATTTTATTAATTTTGCTGAATTGTAACCCTTCACAAATAAATGCTAGTCCAGATGGATGTACATTTTATAGATGTTTACATGTCGTTATTAGACGATATGTATTAAAAACACTGAACATCAGTCAACTAACATTTTTTTGTAGTGTCTTTTTAAAAGCTTCCTTTTCTACCTTTTTTCCAATAAAGTATTCTTAAATTCTTAAAATGCTATTACTACAGATGTTAGGCCTATAACTAACTGCACTGCACTGTACAATATTAGACCAGAATGATGTAATACACTTTCAATGATTTAGACAGCAAAGGTGTAAAAGTCTACTCCTAACACAAGAGTGTGCATCTGTGTCAGCTTATCACTTGCCTACACTGCACAGCCATTCAAGCCTATACAAAAAAAGCTATCTGCCTTCAGGACAAACAGACCGTTATGACCCAACTGCATGTATGACAACCGATAAGGGCTATATCTTCCTCCTATACTGGGGACCAAGTCAAGCTTCAAAGATACTGAGATATGCTTACAGCAAACTACAGCTTAATGTACCCCAACCCAGTCTGTTTGTGGCACACTGCCAGGCTAAAGGCCTTTGCAAATGATGTAGCAAAACCCAGGCCTTGGATTGTGCTTCAAATCTGAACAGTCTGCAATATGTGACCTCCAACTGGTGGCAGCTATCAGTTTAGTGCAGTGGTTCCCAACCCTGTCCTGGAACCTCCCCCCTCCCAAACACACCAGACCCAACCATTCAGCTCCTTTTTGAGTTGAGAGCAGGAAAACAATCCAACATGCAGGGCAGAGGGTACTCCAGGAGCAGCGTTGGGAACCTGTGGTCTATCCGTGATGGGTGAGCATTTGGTTTACGCCTCACAGTCATTCGACCACTCTCAGCCAATAAGATTGCAGCGTGTTTGGTGGTCGCTGAATGGGCGAGGGGTGTGTAATGTATTGAATAAGAACTGAGATATGAGAGATGTGTAGCCCAACAATTCCTGGTAAATGTATATGGCAAATAAATGCGATTCTGATTTAAACTACGAACCAGACAACTGCACGTTTAAGAAACGGTTCTCAATGTGAAGCTTTCAGTCGTAAAGCATCGAGAAAAAAAGGAAAACAACCAACATTAGTGCTGGTTTGTGTTTGCATGGAAACTGCCTTCTTAATGTGTATTTGGATTCCTACAGACAGGACTACAGTGAGAGACAGCTTAGAAGAGAGCTTATCACTATGATAGCATAGCACGATAATCCTGACACACACAAAAAAGGATTAATATAATTAAATGTGTCACTGTGTCCTGTCAACAGATTAGGTTCAGATGGTGCTTTTTTTATATAAAATAATAAAATTAAGTCGCCCTGTTTAAAACCTGAAGAGATGCTAAAAGGGTTGGATTAGCGAACTGGACAAAATGAACTTCACTATCAAACCACAAAGGAGAAGTTACATTCTTACTCGAATTTTTGTGTTCCACCTTAAATGGTGCAGCAGGTCCAGCAGCCTGTGGTGGCGCCAGAATGAATTTAACTACGGCACCATTTAAGCCATTTAAGGTGGACAGAGCAATTCGGAAAAGAAGCTGGAGAACAGGAAGGCGACTTGAACGTCGGTTTCTCAGGTTAAACACTTCACACTCACCTCTCACTGACCAACACGACGTCCGCCTCGGTCCACCGCTTAAAAACGGCCGGTAGGACTTTACGAAAGGCGAGAAACAAGCCGGGAAAGAGCACGGCACCGGACACCAGCACACGCCACATCTTCGGCTTCGACAGAGAGAGTCCCGTTATACAGCGCTGTGTGTGATTCAGCGAGCTAGCGTCTGTTTATCTGTGGTTATCTCGCTCGAGCTAGCAGTTTCACCACAGCAGAGCGCATTAGAGCTCTGGCCTTCTGTCCTATCTCTCTCCCCCCTCTCTCTCCCTCTTTTACCTCAGGAACACGCCGCTACACACCGAAAACAAACGGAGAAAGAATTCGGGGTCGATTAACATTAATCTTCACTTCACCTCTGACGGTAAAAAAAAAGCCTCAGCTTACTACATATTATAACTTCCAGCTGATGTAATGACGGCCCGGTTGAGCACGGTTTGTTTGAACCCCGGCTGCAACATGAGACCTGTTTTCCACGCCGGTGCAGGAGATGAAGTGTCCTGAAAGCAGCGAGCGTTTGCTGGTTCCTGTTATGTATGCTACTCTCAAGTGTTGGGGCTTTGGAGTGGATGATCACTGTGCTCCCGCCTTTTTCCTTGCTCGACAGCACCATCTAGAAGCCCAATAGGGTAACACAGGGCCCTCCACAATTATCACTGGCACCCTTAGCAAAATACACTATAGAAGCCCATTCTTCCTATAAAAAAAATAATATTTAGCCCCTACTTTATGACTTTTATATATATATAATCACAAAATCATAAAGTATCTCAAAATAGAGGGAAAGTATATCAAAATAATGGCATAGCAATTCATTTATTAAAGAAAAAAATAATAATAAAAGTTCTGGATTTTGTGTTTGTAGTGGTGCGAATGGGCTTCCATAATACACTGTAAGTCCAAAAGTCCGTAAAGGCGGTTAAAATAATCGATTCTTAAATGAATGGCGATTCTCTTTGAAAAGATTCTGAATCAATTCACAAAATTTCATGATTGCATACGTCATAACAGGCTCTGCATTTGTCCTACTGTAAAATACACTCATGCGCAACTGGAGATTACAGCCCAGCTTGGAGGGGGAATAAAAACAGGATCTCATTAATGCATGTTTGCAGTCACAAATTGTTGAAAGTTTTTGTGTGTACAGAAGAAAAGGCCTGAAGCCATAGTAAACATGACCCTGTAAGAACATGACTTACTATAACAACCACCTCAGTCATTTTTTCTTTCATTTTTTTTGATTCCAGTTTGAACCTATCAGAAGATGGCAAAATAGGCAAATATACTCAGCAAGTGCACAGAGTGTAGGCTACATGCAAATTCAGCTCATTGCTGTGAGGATTTGATTTTATTCAGCCACACGAGCATTAGTGAGGTCAGGTACTGATGTTGGATGATTAATTATATGGATAATACAAGCTGTGTGTGTGTGTAATGGAACACGTGTGTCAGCAATAGGTGCACCTTAAAATACTTTCTAATTCACTAATTATAAGAGGTATCTGAATACTTTTGGATATAGTGTAAATGAGAAATCAGAATCAGGACACTGTATTTGCCAAAAATGTACTCATAAGATGCACATGTGCATATTAATCCCCCTCACAAGACCCTAATGTTAGCCAACACAAGCGAAAATCAGAACTAATATATAACAGTTACATTTAGTTTAACTGTAAATTTTGCCTTTCCTCGCATCTTTACCAAAGGTGTGAGTTCTGGAGAGCATTGTACGTATCTCACCAGTATAATTTTAAAATCCATCACAAATAGCTTTTTCCCAGTGTGATGGGGTAATGTTTTTAAAATATAAAATATATCTAGAGTTAAAGAAATGGTCCACCAAAAAATCTAATTTACACAATTTTCTTTTTACCCCAAACATAGGCAATATGCCAATACATGTTTCATATGTGTAGTTTGCTTCTTTTGTTTTTCCCTGGAGCTGTGAAATAAATATAACACAATTCAGTGTCACCCAAAACTAATTTTATCAGTACTGCAAAAGTGAGATTAATTTATATTTATTTAAATAAATTTAAAAATCAAGTACAAATTCATTTTGCCGCATCAGGAAAAAGCAGAAAATATATATTTAACTGAAAATTACACAGAAGCTCCAGCAATTTATAATATAATTTCAACTTTTTCAGTATTTAGTGTGTCCATTAATTGCCTTTTTTACAGCTGCCATTCTTTTCAGGCAGCATGCTTTCAGTTTTTCAAACAAATCTGCAGAGATATTGTTTTTCACACTTATAAAGTTCAGTCTTAGAAGTTGATGCATTTTCTGCTTCTCATGATCCAATTAATCCCAAAAACAATCAATGATGTTCAAAGTTGGACTCACTCTATTGGTCAGTCCATTGTTCTGAGAGTACCAGCAGCCTCCTTGTGTGATTTCCAAATTTTCTTCTGTTTAGTCTGTTTCCTTTTCTCAGTAAGGGCTTCTTGACAGCTTCACATCCTTTTAGACTCATGGTGTTGAGTTGTCATCTTCCAGTGGAAGAATGGTCATGGAAAATCATGTGAAAGCTGTGGGTATTGGGGCAACATCTGACACCAAACTTTGCTTTTGCACAGTACTCTATATAATTAATTCGTTGATCGTGTGTGCTGGGCTGCCACATATTTTTTATCCTTAAGATATATACATTACTGATGTGCACTGTTTGCTTTCTACAGCCTGTATGAAGCCTGTGTGAACAATGTATTGAATATGACGGAGAGAGTCCTAAGGTTAGCCATTAGAAGTGAATATCTGAACTGACAGGGCTGCTCAGACAGCCCTACCCACTGTCATCAGTTCTCTAACCCTGATGCCCTCTCTCTGGAACCAATTAAAAGTCCCTACTGAGGACTTTTCCATGGCACTGTTTCCGCCCTTTCAGTAGCTAAGCAACCAATATTAGAATTTCAGAATTCACACTATGTTTTCCCCAAAAGTAACCTTATAACATTTGTGTTTTATGTATAACATTTGGTTTTATGTACCAAGAACAATCATAGTTCATTTTTACATGACCATTTATCAACCACTCTTTGTCCCTTAGAAGTATACAGGCTGTTTTTTGTTTCTGTGCCTTTAAGATTGCTACACTATATGGCCAAAATTATGAGGGTACACCTCCTAATTACTGAGTTCAGGTGTTTGTCACACCCACTGCTGACAGGTGTAAATCAAGCACAAAGCCATGCAATCTCCATAAACACTGCCAGAATTGGGTTGTACTAAAGATCCCAGTGACACTGTCATAGGATGCCACCTTTATCCTGCTAGATCTGCCATAACAGCTCAGCCACAAAGTTTGTGGTAGACCACGCAAACATAGATTGGGGCCACCACTCCAAGCATGTAGCTCATAATACTAATGCTGCATCACTCACTGCAGAGTTCTAAACTGCCCCTGGAAGAAACATCAGCACAAGAACTGTGCATTAGGAGCTTCAAGAAATAGGTTTCCATGGTTGAGCAGCTGCACGTAAGCCTGAGATCACTAAGCACAATGCCAAGCATTAGCTGCAGTGGTGTACTCTGGAGCAGTGGAAACATGTTCCGTGGAGTGATCAATCACACTTCACTATCTGGCAGTCTGTACACACTGTTAAGGAGAGCTGAGGTTTTTAAATGATGTAGAAAGAAAAACGACAAAAATGGAGGTACAAGATTTTGTTCTGGCAGCGATGAAATGTGCAAAACTCTGCTCTTTTCTTCATCCTGTTCATGCAAAATGTACATGTGACACTTTTTTGTTCTTTTCCATAACTTTTAGCACCTTCATACTTACTGCCTTGCACAGGATCCATTTGAAATATATAGTGGAAATATATACGAGGAACTTCCCTTTTTTGCTAAACTCATAAACAAATATCAGTACAATGATCTCTTAATATGCTCTGCACTGATAAGAAGACTGCCTGGAAACAAACACGGATACAGGCACTTTTTATGACTCCTCCATCATAAATGCCTATGTCTGCTGATATGCCCGCTAAGCTAATTTACAGAAGGACGTGCAGCACTTTTCCATGGTGATGGGGCCAAGCATGGGATGTTCTAAAGTGGGGATGAGGTATAAAAACCCAAGAGAAGAGGTCAAACCACCAAACCGTGGGATAGAGAGAGTCAAACAAATCCATCCACTCTAACAGGTCAGTTTGTCACTTTGAATATATTATGGGATCATGCTTAGAAATGTGAAGATGATATAGGCTGATATAAACTGGATAATTGCATTTATGCTGTATATGAACCTTTATCTTTAAGAGGGTATGTTGTCAGCATAACCTTTTGGGAGCAGTAACCAAATGCTCTTTCTCAGGAAAAATCATTGTCATGCGAGGAAGGAACACTAAGGCATACATTTTAGGGCTGAGTTATTGCAAAGGTTTGGTCAAATGACATGTTTTGTTGACTTTCTAAGTACACATCCTCTACAGCAGAGACAGTGAGAGAGATGTGAGCTGGTTAGAGAGTGAGCTGTTAGAGAAAGACTCTACTTATGTAAGGTGTGTCTGTGGCTCACAACAGCTGGAAAATAAAGCACCACGATTTGTGCAAAAGCAGAGTGTCTTTCAATGGTGGTGAGCAGACATTTTTCTGCTGATTGTAGTACAATTTCTGAGCTGAGTTTATCATATTGGGAAAAAATAAAACATCAGATGTAAAATGTGCCTTAACTTTTACAAAGGCCAATATTTTAATATATATTTTTCCAAAATATGTTGAATTTATTATGTATTAAAATGTGCAGAACTGAGTAGAGGATGTGTGACTTATTTTTCCTTAGAACAAAACATGGAATTTGACCAGGGCCACCCAAACCCAAAGATTTGATTATTTTCAATAAATTAAGCACCAGGCCTTTTTTCAAGAACACGAATTCATCAACAGGCCTGAACGCTGAATGTAGTGTGCTAGATTGCCAGTTCACAAGCTCTGCTTTATTAGGTTTAATTACTCCACTAAAAAGACACATTAAGACAACTGTGAGTAATGTGCAATATAAATGGATTGCAGCTCTTGTGATTTGAAAATTGAAATTTTTGAATTGTATTTTAGATATAAAAGTTGTTCAACCCTAGTAAATTTCCTATTTTATTTGTTATGCATTCTTATTACCATGTTTTTGGCTGCTCATCCCAGGACCCACTTCATTTCGGAGCCATGTCTGGAAATCTGTACATCTTTTCAATTCTACTTGGAACAGGTTTGAAACACATACTCACCTGCATCCATCAAATTTAGGTGGTTTAGCCAGTTTGTTTATCCATGTTCGTTGAGACACTGTTATTGGGTAACAGCAACTAGTTATTATAGTGGCATATGTTGTATTTATGGCTCAACAGTTATCAAGCATCTCAGAGTAAGAACATAAATCTAAGATCAAGTCTCTTGTTTTTTCATTTTACTTTATAACCTTATATATTATAGGTATAATCTGGCCCCGGAATCAACATTACTCCTTTGACAAGTTTGATATACACTGACTGGCCACTTCATTAAATTCACCTGCTTGTATCTACACTCATTGTTCATTTTATCAGCTCCACTTACCATATATGAGTACTTTGTAGTTCTACAATTACAGATTGTAGTCCACCCTTTTTCTCTGCTCTTCAAAGGTCAGTTCCCCCCACAGATGATCAAAGAACAGGTAGTATATAGGTGGTGGATCATTCTCAGCACTGCAGTGACACTGATGTTGTGTTGGCGTGTTAGTGTGTGTTGCACTGGTACAAGTGGATCAAACACTGGAGTGTCCACTCACTGTCTATTCTATTAAACACTCCTACCTTGTTGGTCCACCTTGTAGAGGTAAAGTCAGAGATGATAGCTCATCTGTTGTGGCACAGTTTGTGTTGGTCATCCTGTAGTCCTTCATAGGTCGCTGTTAGTTGGATATTTTTGGTTGGTGGACTATTTTCAGTCGAGCAGTGACACTGAGGTGTTTTAAAAACTCCAGCAGCACTGCATTGCCTGATCCACTTGTACCAGCGCAACACACACTAACACACCACCACCACATCAGTGTCATTGCAGTGCTGAGAATGACTCACCACCCAAATAATATTTGCTCTTTGTTTAGGGTCCTGACCATTGAAGAACAAGGTGAAGAGGAGCTAAAAAAGTATGCAGAGAAACAGATGGACTACAGTCTGTAATTGTAGAACTACAAAGTGCTCCTATATGGTAAATGGAGCTGAAAACATGGACAATGAGTGTAGATACAATGGAGTTGTACTTAATGAAGTGGCTGGTCAGTGTATGTCTGCAATTACCTAGTTCAGCTGATTAATCAATAAAACTGATTTATTCATTAAAGTCAGTGCAAATGCTGTTACACTTTGAATAAATGTTTACGTGTAGCCTTAAAGGGTAATTTCACTAAATTTTTACATTTCTGCATTAAGCAATCATTAAGATGTAAACAAATAAGCAGTGTTTGTTTGATGTGTAATGCTGCATTGAAAAGAAACTTAGTGACTCTAATTTCTTTACAGTGGTGATAGAAACCAGGGGTTGCAATATCTACAACACAAATATAACCATTTTATTTACTTTTTGTTTATCTAAAACAGTCACTAAACCTACAAGTGACTTACAAGTGTTTGCCTACTGAGTAGCATATAAATGTATGATACAAGTTATCCAATTATGTTATGTTTGTAGTATTTGGTAACATTCTAAATTGTTAATTTATAATCCATAACACCAAAGTAAGGCCTAAGTGTTCAGCACACAGTGGAATATAAGGATCCCCCAACTACAAGCACACAGTTTAGGCCAAAACTTTGTCTCAAAACTATCCTAAAACAATCCTTCAGGCATCAGGCAGCATATACGTCACCATTTCATCTAATAACTTTCTTTGAGGGAGGTTTTAGAGGCATTAAACTCTTTGGATGTCTGGCTACTATCACCATCACCATCAGAATATTTAATCAAAAATTGGTGGAATCCCCTTTTTAGAGCGCAGTCAGCAAAGAGCATATGGCAAACAAAACCTCATTTTCTTTAGTTCACATATATGATACTTGTTCATGAATTTACCATCTGAGAAACTGTTAAATGTGATGTCTTTGCCTTTTTGGTGTATTTTCCTTTTACAGAAAACACAATTCTACAAGCTGTTAGGATTTGCTAGTTGATATAATGTAGTATCGAGCAAATATCCAGCTCTGCTCGAATAGCCACGCCTACTCACTAGTCTTCATACTTTCTCAGTTGCCCTTTTACCATTTTACATGTAGATGCAAATACTTTCTAATCTGACATATTAGCATCTTTCCATGAAAATGAATTAGGAACAGCTATGAATTCTTACTAGTGAGATTTTTGACTTTTTGCTAGGATTTGATTTTTTCATGTCAAATTTCTTTTTTTTTAACTAGTATTAATTACAGTTTACTTATTCCATTTGAATTTCTGTTATGAAGAAAAAGCATCTTGCCACAGTGTATAAAGGAAAATGCAAAACAATGATGTAATGCAACTTATCTATAATACTAGACCATGTTAGTGACCGGTTCAGCTGCCTTGCTGTTGATTTGGAGGGGGAATTTCACAGATTTTTCTGCATAATCAAATCTGTCTTTTAGAGGAAAATTATTACATGTAATGGGAACAGATACATTGACTGATGTCTAAGACTTTGTTTTCTGATAGTTTTGAGATGGGTTTTTTGTCTAAAATGTATTGTTTTATATCATTTATTGTGGAGAGGTACATGCTGAGTGTAGTAAGGCTAAATGGTCCCTAAAGTAACCTTAAAAATGTAACATAATGAGGGAAAATATAATAAATGAGTAGGAATTTTGTGCCAAAAGTTGCAGAAAATGCCACATTTAAGCTTGTTCCTTGTAGAGGAGCTTATTTTCACTTGAAAAAAACAATAAAACATACTTTTAACTGGGATTGTTCAAACTGTTGCATATAACTGTATGTAAAAAATGACTGAAAGCAATGAGAAAGTGTTAATACATTAACTAAAGGACGCTTCTGATTTTTTCGCCAAAGTAACTGAAAATTAACTTGATCCCAGTTTTGATCAATCTTTTAGCTATCAAGAAAAGTTTTAATCCTGTATGAATCTGCAATGTCTGTAGTTCTTATAGTCTGACTGTAATAATTGTGGAGTGAATTGCATTCTGTCATCTGGAGCTCTCTAGTCCTGTCAGAATCCACCACTTGGAATAGCATAACCTGCAAACAGACACAGCCTTTGGTCATGTTGTTATAGCTGTCACATGGCACTGATATCTGCATCCAGGCTGTGGGAAATTTTACAAATTAGTTATCCCATGTATTGTTGAGTTAAAGGTCAAATTTCAGATATTTTTCACACTTTCTGTGTAATTCAATCATTATGATGTTAAAAAAAAAAGACATTTAGAGTGATTTGAGGTGATTTCTGCTGTTCTAAAGAAGCGCACCAACAGAGTTGTTCACAGCAGTGGTGATAAAACCACAAATCCAAAGCATTTACTGCAAAAAAGGGTTATGAATATTGCTTTACAAAAAGCTTTTGGCCTAAAACAGATTTTTATAAGACATGCAGGATAGAAAGGCAAAATAGCGCCCAAAGAAAACCTAATTTTTCAGACTTACCACATATAAACTCAGGACATGTGTGGGTTCACTGGCCATTTTGGATAGTAAATGAAATGGCCACATGTGCATTATGGACATCACAATCTCTGGTTGCCTATCACCACCACTCTAGTAACAATGAACCATTCTTACATCAAACCACACATGATTTTGTTAACATCTCAACAGTTGAATTATGCAGAAACTCTGGTAGAAGTACTTCAGTCAGTTCATTTTTATACTGTTACTTTCAGCAATTTTCCATGGAACAGAAGAAACCACTGTGGCGTCATCCATCTCAGCAGTTACAGTAGCCAGCAGCCTAGCTTCAATGACTGATCCCACTTCTTCCGCTGCTACAGCTACTGCTACTGCTGGAACAGCTGAAACTGCGACCGCTGGAACAGATTCAGTCACCTCCACTTCTATAGACATCAGCACAGAGGCAGCCCAGAGCAACTCCACCAACCCTGACGGGGGGTCAGAGGAAGCAGGTAATGGTCTAACCCCAGCTGAGGCTGCAGGAGTGGCGGTGGGGACCATCGCTGGGGTTGCTGCACTAGGTGAGGCATCAAATCTCACATGCACAGGGTACTAACAGGGTCTGCATACTTACACTACTGTTCAACATGTCTGGAACACAGATGTCATATTAATGAGAAAAAGTGAATCATAATTTATTATTATTATTATTATTTTTAATCATTTTATTTTTTATACACACTGGCAACCAATAGAAGTGGTTCAAAATTACAATGGGAATTATTTTATAGATTTTTTTAAGTTATCCAGATGAACACTGTGTTAATTCAACAATATGGTTGCATCAAGCATTTTTCAACCACATCTCAATCTGATTCATCTGTATCACATGGTCAGTTAACATGTTTAAGTGTTTCCCCTTATTAAGAAAACCTGTTGGTCTGAAACAAACTTATAAGCTAGTGGGTGCTGAAGGAGCTGCCCATTGGCTTATATTATTACTGTGTTTTGAGTCAATAGGTTTAATGTTCTTTCCTAAGTACAAGGAATTTACTGTCCATGGTAATGGACCCTGTGCTACAGATGTGACAGATAGAGATTAGGTTGAACCTCGCTGGAGTAATGCTTTAATTCAGCATTGTTAGTGGTCATTTAGGCCTGGGGATTTTACTGTGTAGGATGAAACACAGACGTGTTGCGTTTGGCAGCCCGTACACCAGAGTTTTATGACACCAATAAAGTGCAATATCCTGAGAGCGTGGTGGCTTGGATGACTTTGTTGAACCCTAAATGACAAACAAAAACTAATGCACAGTTTATTACACCTTTCCAGTAAGCAAACACATTCAAACTCCATTCAAATGACCATCTTTACAGGGAAGAAGCAGAGGTTCCAATCACCTACAATCATCAAACTAGTGACTATACATCATATTTGATCAGTGAAAGTCTGTTCTTCTGTATCACTGTTTTCTCTCTCTCTCTCTCTCTCTCTCTCTCTAGGTGGAGGGATATTTGCTGGTTTAAAGTTCAGTGGAAAACTGGGCTAGCCTCACAGCTTCCCCCTCATATTCTTCAGCCTTAAGACTGGAAGAGCAGTCACTGTGCCACAGAAGAGTGATGGAGCAAGTGGAAAAAAGTACACAGCCCAGTACACCAAACACACACTTTACTATCAATTTTAATACAAATTATGGAGGCATTTTAGAATTTTATGGAGGTAGATTTTTTCCCGCAAATTTTAACCATTGAACAACACTAATTATTTTAACAAAAGTTTTTAACAAAAGTAATAAAGAAATAATATCCTAAACGTTGTTTCAAATATATGGTGGTAATGTATGCAATTTCTTCCGCCAGAAAAAGTTGTTCCGGCAGTTTAGAGTAAAGCAGCCAGTGCTGTTGCTTAGCAATAAGTGGTGAGTGCAATGATAGAGGTATGGTAACTAAAACAAGCTGTTATCATATACAACAACACTTTTCGACCAATCAGATTGTGTCAGAACTGTTATGAGATTAGATAGCAGATGTCAGCAAACTTGATGTATTTCGTATTCTGGAAAAATGAGACATCCATGTATCAAAGACCATATGTCAATGTTTTTAATAATCCCTTTATTTACTGTATTGCACTTTTTTATATTAAAAAGATATGTTGTATATCTGTTGTCCGTTTCTATCCACATTAATTTGAATCGCGTGCTCTCTTTCTGCTGGACTTTGATATGATCAATATGAGACCAGCAGGACAGCCGGGGGTTTATGATATGTCTATCAGCAGCGGTTTTGTGTATGTAGCTAATGGGAACGAGAGAGATCATGACAGCAGTAGAGATATGACTGCGTGTGTGCACATTAGCAATAATGTGAGTTTAGCATTACATAAGAACAAATTTAACAACATATAAATGTGGGACAGGATAAGAGCAGATGGTAAAGCAGCTCTCTCTCTCACTCTCCTCTCTCTCTCTCTCTCAGTCTCTCTCTATCTTTCTCCTCTGTCAGCTCCCCCACCTCTCTCTCATCTCTCAGCCTCTCTTTCTCTCTCCCTCTTAGCCCCTCCGTCTCTCTCTCTCATCTCTCAGTCTGTCTTTCTCCCTCTCTCCTCTGTCTCTCTCCCTCTTTCTTTTTCTCTTTCTCCCTCTCTCTCTCTCCCCCTTTCCCTTTCTTTATCTTTCTCTCTCTCTCCTCTCTGTCTCTCCCTGTCTCTTTCTTTCTCTCTTTCTCTCTTTCTTCTCTCTCAGTCTATTTTTCTCTTTCTCTCATTTCTTTCTTTTTCTTTCTCTCTCCTCTCTCAGTCTCTCTCCCTCTTTCTTTCTCTTTCTCTCTCTCTTCTCTCTCAGTCTATATCTCCCTTTGTCTCATCTCTCAGCCTTTCTCTCTCTTTCTCTCTTCTTCCCTCTCAATATCTCTCTCCCTCCTCTCAGTTTCTTTCTCTCCTTCCTGTCTTTCTCTCCTATCAGTTTTTCCCTCAGTTCTCTTTCATTTCTCACTCTTTGCTTTGTGTCCCTTATTCTTTATCTCTTCTCTCTTCCTCTCCCTCTCTCTCCTTTTTATTTTCTCTCCGCATCTCTCTTTCACTCTTTTTTTCTTGCTCTCTCTCTCTCTCTCTCTCTCTCTCTCTCTCTCTCTCTCTAAAATGAACCATGCATGAAATATTTAGTCTCGTAGAGCAGCTCTCTAAACAGAGTGCAATTAAATAATAAATTTGGTTCCTCTCAAACTGAGAGGGCCAGAAGAACAGGAAGAAGGAGTGATTTGATTCATGTTTCCACACTGAAGTGATTAGTTTGGTGAAAACATTGACACAATGTCCTATGTAACCCGAATATGGTCAGCTGCTAAGAGATGTTTGCTTTTTAGCTTTGAGCTATACGACTTCTGTCCATTTTAATTAATAACGGTGTCACACACTTTTAGCAACCACGTAACAGTCTATACAACTCCACATGGTTTGAGGGAATTACGTGATGATTTGAGCAGGCAGTTTGATGCTAATTGGTTGCATATAACTTGTTAGCTACATTAGCCTCATAGCTCCGGGGCAAATCTGAATGAGAAAACTTCAGACACCAATCACTTTGTCTTTGCTGATTGATTCCATTTGGAATATGGGGAAATTAAATAAATGTAACTTTAGACCAAAATATTCCTTTAAACAGAACATCTAAATTGCATTAGTCTACAAGTAAACACTGTAATGTAATTTTAATGTAACTTCTACCTCCTTTTTCCACAAAAGTTCTACATCATTTAGTCTTTAAGATGCAAACAAAGTCATTTGGAGTGGTTTGATGTGAAATGGTGCACTGTCGAGAGAAATCCAACTCAGATTTCTTTACACTGGTGCTGATCACAAGCAGAAGTCACAATGTTTACAATGCAAATAAAGCCTATCTATCCAAAACCACCGGTGAACATATGCGTATCTTAATGTTATATACATATATATGGGCTCTATTTTGCCCTATATGCCACCTTGTGTGTGCCTCTCCTATGTTGTAGGTCAAAACTTTACATCAAATCTATTACAAATGAACGTCTCAGACATCATACGGTGTATTTATAACCCTTTGATAAAATAGATTTTTGTGAGGTAGCTTTTAGAGGCACCAAACTCAGATGTCTTTCACTAGCATCATAAACAATTCTGACTCTGTTTCTCTAGAATGAAGCATTCCACATCAAACCACTGTGAATGACTTTTGGTTAAATTTTGGTAAACATGGGTGAAATTCCATTTTAAAGCATGAGATTGAGGTTATATCTTTAATACCAGCAAGAACAACTAGTCTTAGCTATATATTGCTGTATAACAGCCGTTGTTTGTGTGGAGAAGGTGGCAGTGGTGCAGTAGAAGCCAATCTGCAGGTGAGGAGAACAGGAGACAGACAGCAGAGGCTTCGGTTTCTAGCTCTAGTGGAGGCCTCATCACTCATCTTCTTCTCCTTACACACAGATCACCTGTCTTAGTCTGGAAACCTAATCTGCACAGTCACTGAGCACACTCACACACTTCTGAAGCTGGCTGTGACCAGAGGTGAGGCGAGTGACCTGAAAGCAAGTGTTTACCACAGTGGTGATAGGTACCAGACTGTAACCGCCACAGGAAGTTACTACACAAAATGGTTACGGAGACACTGCCTAATGCCCGAAACATTGTTTTATGATAGTTCTGAGATAAAGTTTTAGCCTAAAGTGTATTTTTTTTAAATACACACATGGTGATGAGGTACATGCAGGGCATTGTACAGTAAAATAGTCCACAAAGAAAACCTTTTTTTTTTCAGATTTACCACTATTTTACCATTATCAACATAGAAAAACTCAGAGGACATATATAGGTTCACTGGTTGTTTTGGATAGTAAATAAAATGGCTATATTTGTATTATAGAGGTTCCTATCACCACGATTGCGACCTGGTTTCTCTACAATGCGCGTCAATTTCACGTCAAACTGCTCACTTTATTTACATTATAATGAATAAACTATGCAGAAACATTGAAAAATCAGTAGAATTTCTCTTTAATTCACAACACGACACTCTTGCAGTTTGGTTTCAAATGTTGTATATGCAGACTGGAGAGAGAACAGGACATTCTGAACAATGTTTACCGATACTATGTCAAGTTTTTTTTAAAAGAGGAAGGAAGATGAGCTTTTCTAGGATTAAGGGACCTTAAAGTATATGTAACTGAGAAGATAGAACTAGCTATTAATCACCTCTGGCCATCACACTGGAAGAGAAGGCAATGCAAAGATATGCAAATACTGGCACCTGCACAGAGATACTCTCTCTCTCTCTCTCTCTCTCTCTCTCTCTCTGAGGTCACATTTGGGCTCCTCTTCCTGGATCCAAGTAAGTATGTGTTAATCACTGGCTTAATGAGCTCAGTGGTATAAGACTTCTGATCTGTGTTCACAGAGGAGAAAACCGTCACCTTGGAAGGAGGCATTGCCACCATTCTGGACAACCCAGCTATGGATGTTAGAAAGTGAGACATTCAGTCATTATTAATGAAGCATCAATTCAGCTTTATGGTGAAAATCTGCCATCAGGGTAGATACCACTCACTTATGAGAGTCTGATGAAACTGCATTTAATAATTAGCGTATCTTAGTGTAGCAGTGTGCCACCTCAGTAAAATCTCTGGGTCTTACTTGGTCACGTCACTCTAAAAGTTCTAGCTACACCCCTGTTATTGTCCCACAACTTCCACCCAACCCTGTTACCTGAACACATTCATACAACATATCTGGAATATTCCACACGTCATCTGCTGAACAGGATTTGGTATTGTCTGAATTTTCAGAAGATCACAGGGAGAAGAAAAGTACCTTTACTCATTCCTTTTTTTCATTATGTCAATGATACTGTGATATTTTAAAGTACAACCCAAATTACAGACTGAAAGTAAAATATTCATAAAAAAGCAGATCAAAAGCCTAATAGTCACGAAAAAGGATTTGTCTTTCGTTGCTGTTTCCTCGCACTACATGCACAGACACAACACCTTTTTGTCACTGAACTGGATTTACCCCCCTCTTGTGGTAAAGTACTGGTATTGCTTTCTAGGCCAAAAATAAACCTCTCTGAACTTTTCTTTTCACACAAAAATATGTGGTTCTGATAATGACATACAGTATACATTTATGTTTATATGGTCATATAACTATCACATTTTCCTTTGCCAACCTGTTCAAAATCATTGCCCTCAACCATTTAGTTTTGCACTTATCCATGTGTTTATGCTAAGCTGCTAGTCAAATACGGCAGTCAATAAGGTTAATTTGTATACAAGTGATGCATGGAGAAAGAGATAAACACCCAAAAAGCTCACCAAAAAGAACATACAAGCAAGCCTGAAGTGTTTGTTGATTAATTTATTTATAGTTACATCTACCTGACTTTTAAAAAGCCAAAAGTACTTCATATGCATATGAGTCACATTCATTCTGTATTAGTCATGACAATGACTTAGTCCAGACACTGCAACTCAGGAACATACATTCACAATTCGCACTTCATAAATAAAGTCTCTTTCTCTCTCTCTCACACACACACACACACACACACACTCACAAATGACACACAGAGACACACCAGGTGGCTTTTTGTGCTGTGAAAGCTCTTTTCCCAAATTAAGCTGAATGCTGTGGTACAAACAGAAAATGTGGGAAAAAAAGTTTTTTAGTTCCTGGAGATGAGCTGGTTTTAGCTTTAAAACTCCACCAGGGGGCACTTCAGCACACCCTCCTCTGGTCACAGTGAATGTTTTTAAAGGGGCATTCTGGCCTAAACTAGGATGTGTTATTGTTGTGTTATGCAGTATTCTGTAAAGCACTGCATCCCTCAGCCTCACTGCTTTGACAGAATCCATGATTTAGTGCTTTTTGTGTTTGTCCATCAATGTTCTCTCACTAGTGCAATACACAGCCTGCATTAAGTGAATGCATAATACAACCACTGAGAATCCTCCCACAGCAATAAAGAAATCCTGACTGCTTGCCTAGCTGATGATGTAAAGGCTAATAAACAGTCAAGATATTTGACCTCCTAACAGTAAGCTTAGAGTAGTTCTGCCCACCTTCAAGATACATCATCAGAAGGTGCCTTTCCTAGTCCTTAAACTGTTAAAGAGACTACTGTGGCAAAACTACAGGTCAGCAATGTTATTATTATTATTATTATTATTAATTATATAATATATATTATTATTATTATTATTATTAATATTAGCCAGAGTGCACCTTTAAGGTCACTCAGTGACACATCTTCATCTTCAACAACTCAAAAATAGAATATTAAAATAAAGTTAATAAATTAAAATTAGTGGTGTCATAGTGACTACCAAACAGGAATTGTGAGCTCCAGGTAGTGCATAGAGTTCATCTGTCTGTGCTCACACACACACACACACACACACACACACACACACACACACGCACAAAGTCCTGCTCAATTATGAGAGGTAGTGTTCCAGTTTCTCTCTCTTCCCAGGAGGAGTGTGTTCTAATCCCCATCCCTTGAGCAGCAATCTCCATCCAGTGGAATGATGGGATGGGGAAGCCCTTATACGGAAGCTCGTTCTGGGCTATGCTTCGAAATCCCAGGCTTCTTAGAAAAGAACAGGCCTTGACTATGATTCAGTCCAACTATGTGCTTGGCCTTCGTCCATCAACTTGTAAAATAATCTCAGTCTGCGACTCAAAGCATAGACCTCCACTGAAGTTTAGTCCCAGCATTTGGCCAGCCCACAGGCCCAGGCTATGCATTAGCCCCCAGGCTATACTGTCCTACAAACAGCCAGAAGGCATCAAGTCCTAGGCTTTACTGTCCATCTTTAGGCCAAGATGAGGCCTGCTCTCTTCACATACGCGAGGAGTTAACGAGTTCATAGAACAGCACATAGGCATCACTGCTCCGCACCTGGCTGGATGACATGGGGCTCACCCTGCAGAGAGAGGGGGGAGAGGGAGGGTGAGTGAATGCCAGATGTAGAAATGCTTACCTTACATTAACTAATAGAGGGGTATGTTTGCTGACCTGGACTCTGTCCACATCAACATTTAAAGTGATGATTCAAATATATACAGTTTCCCCTTTATTCCAAATGTGGTCACAATAAGAAATGTCTTGTTATGCAAGTTACCTAGAGTCATTGTATGTGTACCACTCTCCTGTGGAAGGGTTGCGGCAGTATGCGGTGTAATGACCACCTAGAGTGGTGCCCGTGTGATTGGACACTGCATACAGATTATAGATGGCATTCACTAGCAAGAGAGAAAAAACAAGATTAGGTACATTTCTATGTTACATTTTGTTATATTACTGTTGCTATATTGTTGCTATGCAAACAAAAACTTGCATCACTAAAATGGCCAATGAAAAAGAACATTCAATGAAAAGAACATTCTTAACTTATAATGCAAGTTAAGATTTTTTCTATTCTATTGGTCCATATTTCTATTTTTCTATTTCTATTGGTCCATTTGTCATGGAATTTTCACATGATGGAAATCTGGTAGCCGGCATTTTCAAGTGGAGTAAAAAAAAAACAAAAAACTGTGAGGTCTTGACCTCACAGCTGCGCTATAATGTTTATTAATGACAAAAAAATGACTTTTGATTTGGGACTTACTGCTGTTGTCTGAGGCAAATTCCCGCAGGTCCAGCTCTTTGATGGGGAAGTTGACAAAGGTGGACAGTTTAGCGGTCTTGATACGAGCTTCAGAGAAGCGTTTCAAATCTGAAGCAGTCGGAGAGTCAAGGACCAACACGCACACATACTCCCGCCTACATACACTTACTGAACATTCAGAGCCATATTATGCTATATTGTTCATAGAATTGTTGATTAAAATATTTTGTTTGGTTGAAAGGATACGAAGCACAAGGACTTTGGGGAATTTCTGGATGGAGAATTTCTTTGTGCATTTACGCCTGGCTTTACACCTTTGGCATGTCTGTGAGAAAGACAGAGAGAGCGTGAAAGAGAGAGAGAGAGAGAGAGAGAGAGAGAAAAAGAGAGAGAGTTAAGACAAGAATAATACTTGCTTGACTTAAAAACACTGGTTTCTTCTACAGTAATACACAAACAAACCGCAAACACTTACTGGTTTCTCATTGCCGTCCAGCACATCTTCCTTAGTGAAAAGCCGAAGACAGTCAATCAGAGACACCTCTCCAGAGCTCTAAAACAGAAAAACACTGCGGTTACAAGACTGTCCCACAACATGCAACACTGATATACTTGTATGCCAGCGTGTGTGCGTATACCTTGGCAATAGGTAGAGACAGATCCCAGAACGGATCGAATACAGTGGAGCAGAAACCACACTCACTGCAGGTCAGGGAGCTTTTCAACTGACCTACAAATAGATCTATAAGTAAAAGACAAGCATCATTAGCATCATAAGCGGATACTCTTACATACTCCCACTAATGGTGCTCTCAGAATGATTCCATTTGGTTGTGATTATTTAAAAAATAACATGACATCTCATATCACCATGATTTGATTGGATTTGATTTGTTATTTTTTCATTTTTTATTATGTTTTAAAATATATTTTACAAAATATAGTTTACAAAACTGTTAAACACAGCAGGTTCACTCACCAACTACTTTACTGTCTTCTCTTTCCAGGTACTTATTCCACATTCTTTTAGCTTTCTCATCATCCCTGAGTGGACACACATACATGCATATGAGGCTTCACACCAAACCACTCACACTCTAGAGCTTCACAACTGACTTAAAGTTCAATCAGGGAACTGTAAGTATGTGCTTACGAGAGATGGTCGAAGTCTTCCACGGGCACTCTGGGCCTGATTGAAACTCGGTTCACTTCATTGTGGAGCCCATCTAGAAGGAAACGAAGGAACTCCTGAGCATCCTGCTGGCTGGAGAGAAAAAGAAAGGAGAAAAAAGGGGTAGAGAGAGGAAGTTACATGCTTTGAACTCTCAGTTGGATCACAATAGTCACAACTCCTTTAAAAAAAAAATATTCAATTACAAACCGATCAGTTGGCAATTTTCAAGATGATAATGCATATTTTAAATTCTCTCACAATAAAAAGTGTTACAGACACACCTGTTTATAGGCATTTTATCACAGTGTTTTCTACCTCTTTAAAGTCTTTTAAAAACCTTCCAAGTCCTTCTTTTTCCAAAAAGATTTCAAAGTATATGAACAGCTACAGACATTCTGAAAATTACAACATTACTAATAAAACCAATAGTGACAGCCCTAGATCAAAGCAATCCAGTAATTTATATAATTTAAAATAGTGAATAATTTCACTGAAGCTTGGGTTAGCAAAGCAAATCTTATTAGCAGCTTCTAAACTGCCTTAAGTCCTATTCATGCCAGATTAATTTTGCCTGTGGAGGTACCATATTACTGACAAGAGCCTAGATTTTAATCCAGTACAACTCTGAAATGTTTGTAGTTATTACAGTAATTAATAATTGTAGAGTAAATGGCCTTCTGTAACTTGCTGAAACTGGATCTCCCTCAGTAATAGCAGTCCTGTTCAACCCCCCCCCCAACGATAACAGAATTACAAAATCTGCTGGTAAACACAGCCATGCAATGTGTTATTATTGTTATTGAGTGTGGTGCCATAAAATGCTGACAAACATCCAGACTATGACCTTTCAATCTGTGGTAATTTGCACGCCATAGCCTCCGGGGGGTGAAACTAACCCAGGTTGAATAGTGCTTTATTCAACGCATGAGTAAAAGCTGCTGCAACTTACTTGTAGCCAACGAAACGGGGAGCATACTTCTGGATTTGTGTTTTGAAGTCAGAGGGGCTGATGGCTTCATTGCTTGCTGATGTCCACAGAGTCTGAGTGAGCTTTGCAAACTCTGGAACACACACAAACACCAATGAGATAAGGGAGTGAGTGGAGAACTTAGTTTCAGACAGTGTCCCCATATAAGGTCTGTACGCATTGACTCAATCTAATAGACTCTTACCTTCCATGAGGGCTGCATTGGCCCTGCAGTTGTTGTTGAGGTCGGTGCGGTGCGTGTTCCGCAAACAGTAGTCCCGCAGGTCGTGAGTGTTGCTTAGACACTGCAGGATGGAGTTCATGAAACACTGAACAACAGAAAAGAGTGAGAGAGCTGTTGTAAATAATCAATGTCATACAACCGCATTTTCCATGTTAAATCTTCCCAGTGCTTAACTTGATGCGTTTGTTTTGATGAAGACTCACAGTGTTCCCCAGGTTCCTCAGGCCCACAAGTCCCTGAGCATTCTTGGAGTTCTGTGAAAGAGGAGACAGAGATATTTGTTAATAGACTGAAATGGTAACTTTCCAGAAGATGTAAAAATGTTTAACGTAAATAAATGTAACTATTTTATTTTAAATCATTTTGGAGCATTCTTTTGGTCCATTCATCATGAAATGCTCACACAACCTACAGACCAGCAGACTATTAACATTGACATAACAATGCTATTTGTGTAGCACTTCAAAAGGTAAATCAAACACATGATGATGATGACAACTAATTGAAAAGGCAGTAAAAAAAAAAATCAGTATGTTACAGATATGCTCCATTGCTTATTGTGGTCTGATGGTGACAGATATAACGATAGAGCTGTGTGTATGTGAGCTGTTCGCTCTGATTTCTCCAAACAGCATGTGGGCAGATTTGAAGAGAGACCCTGCTGCTCAGAACTCCTCCTAAACAAACAGGCTCCATCTGCCGCACCAAAACAAGTACAGCAAGAAAACAACAACAAAGCGTTTATTAAACTGGGGATTACTGTATAATAGCAAAAGAGACTCAGTAATACGACAGTGTAGCTACAGGAGAAACTCCTGCGGTTTTCTCAGGCGGGAGATTCTGACAGCTCTGCCAAAACGTGCCGCCGAATTCTCCAGTGTATCTCAACGTGCACCATTGGTCACATGAAAACTCAAGATGATGATGGCATAACAGAGCAAGGCAGTGTTCATATGTATTATATTTCGGTATGTATCTCCAAAATGGAGGAGGGAAAAAAACATTCTTAACTTTTTATGGAAGTTATTGTAAAAAGATTGAATTCACACAATATAATGGATTGCTGGCATTTTCAGATTTTATAAACAATACAAAACGACAAAAATGGAGATAAGATTTTGTCCCAACAACAATGATAATTAAGTACCCCTACACAATAATAATATGCCTTACATGTATTATATAAACACATTTCTCTATTTTTTCTACAAAGTCAGCATAGTTTTGTCCTTACAATGTACAAAAACAATCACACGCACACACAGTCCTCCACAACACTGCAGTGTCAGCTCCAAGAAAAACACTGACTCCATTTCCAGGCTTACTGTATCCTAAGGCATTAATTAAAAGCAATGCAAACTGAAGTTATTCCTAAGTTATAGGAGTAAGGAATGAATACCTCGACCCGCCGGCGGCTCTGTGCCATTTAGGGGGATTCATTTGTGCCACTAATTGTGTACGTCATTTGCAGATTTTGCACTCATGGTAGTGTGATGACATAGTGGAGTCAGTGTATTTTCATCACGTGTGTGTACTTGTTTAATGGAGAGAGGCCAATTTACACCTGTTTTAAAAATGTGCCAAACTAACAGTGGAGATGTCCCAGCTCTGTGAAAACAGGTTCATATTAGTTGGTATCTTATCTGGAACTTGTACAGCTTTCCAGGCAAACCCAGCACAAAGCCAGTTCCAGGTACATAACAGCCAGTATTGAACGGCTGAACTTTCCACAGATTAATGACTAACACTAATGACAAGCCACATTCATGACCTATTACCACTAATTATGTAAATGTGCACAAATGTTCCCACACACACCCACACAGATACACACACGAGTAACTTATCTGCCAAAGAGATCAACATTTCACAGGATAGAAAGTGATTGAACTTGTAGCCAAATTGCGAAAGTTAGTTATGGTAGTCAGGCAGAGTAAAATCACATTAAATAGAATATATATTATACATGAAATCCTGCAAAAATAATCATGCACTACTACACTACTGTTCAAAAGTTTGAAATCCCTTGTCATATTAATAATGTCTGATATTTTATCTACACAGTATTAACTTATACAATGTATATTTAAATATTAGAAAAAGGTATTTTTATGTTTAATACAATATTTCTAACAATGTTTGATAATGTTAAATATTTTCATCTAATCTGTTCAACATTCTAGACACTCATATTCTGACACCTTTCTAGCTTCTTACTAATTTTTCAAAACATCATATAAGAAGGATGTAATACAAATAGGTTTTGTAATACTGAAAACATTCGTTATAAACAGTGCACTCCTACGTAGCGTAATATGACTTCATTTGAGCGTGTGGGAGTTAATGCAGTGCTGATGAGTTTACTGTGTGGCCCTTAGTCACAAAGCTGAGTCACTCCATACATTCAACAGTGACAGCTCGAGCCCCTCACACCTCCACACAAATCACATGCCTCGTGTGAGCGCCTCTGGCAACTGCACCCCGACACGCACACTCTTAATCACACCCAAACTAGATTAGGCTGAGCTGAGGAGGTTTATTCTCTTCCTCAACTCAGGGTGTGCGTGTGTGTGGGCCAGACCTCCCTCTTTTTGGTCACCTGCTGGTTCTCACGGGTGCTGCTGAAACAAGCCGTGCTGCGACAGTGACCAGAGCCCAAGAACAACCTGCTTAGGCAGACTGCTGCCAGTGGGTGGAGCATGGCTGTTGCCAGTGGGCGGAGCATGGCTACATCTCTAATCACACTGGTTGGCAGGGGTTGAAAGAAAAAGGGAAAGAACACTGTGTCCCTGACCTTAGTTTTAGGAACGTCATAGGCTGAAGCGCAAGCGAAAGCAAGCTCATGGTGCCAGCAGGCCACACATGCACACGGGCTGAGCCAATCAAGCAAGTGCCCAGGTGCTCATCACTTAAATCTATGCCTCCTATGAGCAACAGCTTACACTACTAGGAAAAACAGAATGTATACTCCCTTTGCTGACAAAAACAATGTGTACTCTCCCTGTTGGGAGAAAAACAATGTAACAATATATACAATATCTACTGGCAGGAACTATGTACACGCTCCCTACTGACAGAATAGCAGCATGTATACTCTTTCTATTGGCAGAATAACAGTTTGTATAATTTCTCTATTGGCAGAAAAGCAATGTATACGCTGTCTTGGCAGAAAAGCAATGTATACGCTGTCTTGGCAGAAAAGCAATGTACATACTCTTTATTGTAACTAGGTAAGCAACATTTATTTCTATGGCACAATAAAAAAAACTGATGTTGCACCACAGTGCTTTACACAGATGAAACCATGAAAAAGTACAAGGAAGAAACTACTGGTTAAAACAAAGACGCAAACCAACAGATAACTTTAAAACCAAGAAGGAAAGGGAAACGCAAGACATGCAAGAATGTATACCCTCTCTGTTGGCAGAATAACAGCATGTACACTTTTTTATTGGCAGAAAAACAATGTATACTCTGTCTATCCTGCACAATAACTAAAAGAAAAGCATGTATACTCTAATCTGTACTCTGGTAACATCACTGATGATGTGTCCCAGCACATCCTAAGGACACATCTTCACATATGAATATACACAATAATTCAAACTGATAAAGTAATAATACTTGCACCAAAAGGTACTACTAGTAAAACTAATAATGATACTACCAATAATAATAATAATAATAAGAGCATATATTTAGCAGGAAGAATGATAGTGAGATAACAAGAAAGACAGAGAGAGCTCATCGAGTTCCCACATGTCTGAAGTAAAAGGCCCACAGTAATTCTAACATGACTGTAATATCTCTTATCACACGCTACACTGATGAAGCACATTCCTCCAGAAGCAAGCCGCTTAGCTGGCCAACTGCATTATGCAACAGCATGCTGTTATTGTTCTGCACTTAAAGTGGCCTATGTGCTACTTTAAATGCTTTTGTAACAAAGGTGAACTGGGTTATTGCCAGCACCATGTTGATATGCTGCCCCTAATCAGACACCAAACATACTTAATGCAATGCTTGATAAAACTTACATTGTGGCTATGCAGGCCTGCATAAATTACAGTGGCATGCTAGTTGAACTGACCGAGTGGAACTGACCTTTGAATCTAATGGCTGCTTGATAAGGATGTTGGTCAGGTTTATCTGATATGTTGCACAGTGCTTGAGGCACTGCATTCACTGTAAAAGTCTATTAGTTTTATAGAACAATCATTGAGCAAGTGCCAAGTATGAACAGCCACCTTGCTTCAAGCTTTGAGGGTCAACTCACCAGTCTGAATCTGAAAACATCTGAATCTGTTAACTCTATATCAGTCTAGTGATATGACAACCAGAGTCTACAGTTTGTGCTCTGTAAGGTATTTAGTGTTGTCCAGGAGTGTTCTGGAGCTTAGACAGAGCAAAGTACAGAACCGATGGACGTTTGGGATTGGGAAATGAGGAATCTACGTTTAATTAACCAACAATTATCCATTAAATAACAAACACCTAACTGCATATAACACATAAAGAGCTACTAGTATCACTATGCGATCAGTGTGTGATGAGCAGCAGGTGGCGCCAGTCGCACTAAGATCAGCGTTATGCAACTGAATTCGGGGTGCAAGCTGTTCGGTCAGGCGCTCTGCACAAAACCTGACTATCTGTAGCACAAGTCAATCACATTACCGATTCAGACAGTCTTTCAACATAGTAACTGAATGTCTAGTTTAGTTCGGTATTAGTCACACCATGCAACCAAAAACGTTTCAAACGTTTCACAAGGTTGAGGGAAACTCCACGACGACCGAGAGCAGCACTCGGTTACCCAAAACAATCATTTAAAGCTTCAGCAATAAAATGGCGTCTTAGTGACACTGACAGCAAAATAAACTGTTGAAAACTCCGTTTTACTTCGCATTGGCTTCAGCAAAATGTTGTACTGTTTTTGACGACGGTTGCTATGATGCTAGCTAAATGTTGATGTTTGGCTTGTGCTGCCTACAACTTTGAAGCATCAAAAACACCTCAGACACAACGACTTTCCACAGAGGAAAACAATCACATTAGCTGCTCTTATGTTTGTCTAGAAGCCAATGCTCAGGGAATAACTCAGAGAAAACACTCCGTGGGTAGCTTTAGGTCAGCTTTCAGTCAGTGAGATTTGCTGTCAGTGTCACTAAGACGCCATTTTATTTCCCACCTATATTCGTACAAACTCCGGCCCTCATGTGCTCTGATTGGCTAGTGGACCTTGCGTCAATTTCATTAAGAAACATTCAAGACCACTTTTCACAGGCTTGTTCCATTTGACATTCATCTAATGTTACACTCATACTTCTATTTTTAGAAGTTGCGTCACCTATTGTCATTATATCGAGTCATTCAACTGTCCAGCAGTAAGACGAGTGAGTGTATTTGTGGAATAATATTACTCGTGACATCTTTACATTCATTTCTTCTATTTTTACACAACGTTGCGTCAACTTTTCACAGCATCAACTATTGTCGCTACATCGATTCATTCAATTGTTCAGTAGTAGTACAACAAGGCTATATTTGTGGTAAAATGATACTACTTGTGACTAGATTGGCTAACACTTTCCAGCAGTAATGAGCCTAGACGTCACGCTGCAAGTCCAGTCGTCCTGACTCACTGCTACTGGACAATACTATCTAAGTCATAGGTTATACCTATATTCCACCAGTCCAGTCATCTTTATTGACGTCTACTGCACAAGCCACAAGTTACACCAATATAACACAAGCCAATAGCAGCGCTTGAGAGGTGGTATCTGTCGGAATACAGGTAGAAAGAAAAACTACCGTATCGAGGCTCACCTTAGCTTGGTTGATCAGGAGTCCCACGAATGTGGATACGAGCATGGAGCGGGACATGGGCGGACTCTTCCTTCGCGACTGCGGCTTGGTGAAGGGCAGCGGGGCCGCCGGGGGCTCCTCGGGCACCGTGACCGTGTAGGACTGCCGCGCACTAGGCATGACCACGGCAAGTCAGGACTGACGGTCAAAATCAAAAACCGGCTATCGAGTTCGTATCGTGTACCGTTTTTTCCACCTATAAGCCGTTGCTAACGTGCCGTCCGTTTCCGTGACTGTCAGCTGCTCGGTAAAAACGTCCTTGAAGTCTGGAGGCGGTTTTTTATCATTCACAAAGCGTGGCCAAACGTGCGTTTTGGTCACGTTAGATGTATAAAGAAAGTGTAATAAATAGTGTGTAGGCTAACGCATAAAAACCATCAGATAACACTTCCAGAGATGCAGTCCTCGTGCAGCTCGTAGTCCGGTTGTGTTCTTGGTTCAGAGGAACGGTACGGTAGCTTAACGCCGAAGCATTTGTGTGTGAATGATGTTCAAGTCTCCGTCCCTTTCGTTTTCTACCCCGCCGTCGTGCACGCCCCCCTTCCTCCGCCCGGGACTGACGTCACGCCGGCGCGAGGACGAGCCCTTCCCACGTTCACCTTAGCTTGAAGGAGGGAGGGCGATTTTGTGCCTCCGGGATGGAGGATGATTTTTATGGGTACAACACGTGACGTCCGTCAGCATCCTCCCCCCCGCGCGCCTCCTGCTTAGGTCAAATTATGAATGAAACTGGGGGAAATGGCTGACTCTGAGTGCAATGTTCAATGTAAGCAGGGTAAAAAGGCCATTCATTCTCTTCCAGCTCCTATAAGCTATCTAGCCCATGATTGCCAATTAACAGAACTTATCGCTGGCAGGTCTTATACTAAAAAAAAATAAATAAATAAATAAGAATTGGAAAAAGTACATGTAATTTTCCAGTACCTGCACTGTTTTTGCACTGAAACCAATGCCACTTCTGTGATATTACCCATGTTTTTGTGTTTTCTGTGATATACCCAGGCTGTATAATGTGACAACACTGTTGCACATGCCAGGAGAAATTCTGCTGAATTTTCATAATTGTACAGAAACTGTACAGAAACTTAAAAGGTTGAATTTTTGTACAGTGGTGGTGATAGGAACCAGGGCTGGTGACATCTATAACACAGATATAACCATTTTATTTACTATCCAAAAACAAAAATTAACCTACATGTGTCTTCTGAGTTTTATATGAAATGCTGATAATGGTAAAAATAGTGGTAAATCTGACAACTCTGACTAAATCAGGAACTACTTTGTTTTATAATGCCCTCCATGTACCTATAAACATACTTAATAAAATATATTTTAGGCCAAAACCACCTTATCTCAAAACCACACTTAAACAGCAACTTTGCGATTAGGAAGCATATTCATAACCATTTCATGTAATAACTTTAGCTTTTGCAGGCATTAAACTCTTCGACCTTAAGTTTCTCTATAACTGAAAATTTCACATCAAACCACTCTGAATTATTTTGTTTACATCTAAAACTCATTATGATTTTTTTTTTAAGTGTGTGCTCACATGTGTAGTGCATATGTCCCTGTTAAAATATTTTGTCAATTCTTAGTGCTCATAGGATTTTGTAGCCAATTATTCATGAACTATTCGCCTTGCTGTGCAATATTGTACAACTTTAGGTAATGAACGATCACTTTCAGTTTTGAAATTTGTGACTGTAACCATACATGGATTAGTGAGATCCTTCTGGTGTGGGTTTCCTTCCAGTCAGTGATACATAAAAATGCCTAATAGTGCCCTCTTCTGATGAACACAAAAATTCAAACCGTTTACATACTACTTTTTCACAGTTCAAATAACAAATGGTTTCCCATATTGGGGTTAATACTATTTAGAAGTTGTATTATGTAGTTTTTATCTTAGTGCTACATGTTTATCTCAGTGCTAATATTTTAGTTTGTGTTAGAACACTTGCACCTTTTTCTAGTACCAGTGCTACCTGCCTAAAAGTCTTTACATACCGTCCTGGAACGATAAACAGAAATGTAAACAGTATGTTACAATTAGACACACATTATCATACTACTGTATGAGTACTCATACTTGCAAATTACATACTCATACTTGCAAATACTATACACTTACACATATAATATTATACTCTTTATCATACAATGTCTAATGTATTACAATGTCTAACTGTAACTTACTGTCTGCATCTTGAGTATACCTGATTAGTAACTACTGTAGGACAGCTGTTAGAGCTGTTTTATCACTAAGGCACTTTGACACACTGAAGGTGCTATTATGCAAACATTAATGTTTAATGTTTAACCTTATTGTGTCCTATCAAAATTCTGACCATAACTCTTGAGCCCAGTAAGCCTCAAAGCATCACAAACTTTGGCGTAAATTTTAGCAAGGCTTCAAAATGTGCGCAAACGATGAATGCCAGGGGTGAGTCACTCCACACAGGCTGCCGCAGAACTAATTTCTGTGCGCTCAGAGAGGCTCTCCACCTCTGCAGCCCCTTTAGACACCATTACCGTCAGCCACGGCAAGGCGAGTATGTTTATTGCTCCCTCATGGGCAGCAATTCAGAATTAATGACTTGGCTCCGCGTGCCTGAAGCAGAGGGTTCATTACGTTTAGCTGTTTCACCATTTGGAGAAGTCAAGTCACCTGCGTAAGGAACAATTGAAAAGGCAATTATGCATCCATCAGGAGCAGCCTCGCACCTTCTGTTCCCCTGGTTGCGTGGGCTGTGCCACCAGATACTCTGAATACGTTAGTTGTCTGAGCCTTAGGTGTTTCTGATACTCGGAGGAATATCTGTTGCGTGTACACTGTTTGTATATATGGAGAAGACCTTAAAGCAATTATGACAGTGAAAAAAGTGAAGTGCAATTCACAAATGGCATTACTTTTCATTAATGAGGAGCTACTCTGAAAAGCAAAGGCTTCATTACATTTTTCTGACATGGCTTGATCTTTTTTACTAAAAAATAATTTGCTGGGATTTTCTTTGAAATTAAAGCTTTGTTAAACTATTTAAATTAAATTATATAATTACCTAATTAATTACACAGTCAGATATATTTACATTCAATTTATATTCTGTATTGATAGGTCTGACTCTACACTTCTGAATTTTGTTTGTGTCAATGTCAAGAAATTACAACCCCAATTCCAAAAAAATTGGGATGCTGTGTAAAATGTAAATAAATGTAAATAAAAACAGAATGCAATGATTTGCAAATCTCATAGACCCATATTTTATTCAATACAATACAATAGAACATAGAACACATATCAGATGTTGAACGTGAGACATTTTACCATTTCATAAAAACATTAACTCATTTAGAACTTGATGGCAGCAATGCATCCCAAAAAAGTTGGGACAGGGGGAACAAAAGGCTGGAAAAGTAAGTGGTACTAATAAAAAACAGCTGAAGGAGCAACTTGCAACTAACTCAAATGACTGGGTATAAAAAAAGAATATTTTAGAGAGGCACAGTCTCTCAGAAGCAAAGACGGGCAGAGGTTCTCCAATCTGCAAAAACTTTAAAAATGGTGTAAAATTGTGAAGACTTTGGACATCCCACCATCTACAGAACATAATATCATCAAAAGATTCAGAGAATCTGGAGAAATCCCTGCACACGAGGGACAAGGCCGATCTTCACGCCCTCAGGCGGCACTGCATTAAAAACAGGCATGATTCTGTACTGGAAATCACTGCATGGGCTCATGAATATTTCCAGAAATCACTGTTTGTGAACAGAGTTTGCAGGGCAATCCACAAATGCAAGTTAAAGCAGTATCATGCAAAGAAGAGGCCTTATGTCAACACGATCCAAAAATGCAGCCGTCTTCTCTGGGCCAAAGCTCATTTAAAATGGACTGAGGCAAAATGGAAAACTGTTCTGTCAGATGAATCAACATTTGAAATTCTTTTTGGAAACCACAGACACTGTGTTCTGCAGACTCAAGAGAAGAGGGACCAGCTTGTTATCAGCACACAGTTCAAAAGCCTGCATCTCTGGTGGTATGGGGTTGCATTAGTGCCTATGGTGTGGGCAGCTTACACATCTGGAAAGGAACTATCAATGCTGAACAGTATGTAGAGGTTTTAGAACAACATATGATCCCGTCCAGACAATGTCTCTTTCAGGGAAGACCTTGCATATTTCAGCAAGACAATGCTAAACCACATACTGCATCCATCACAACAGAATGGCTTCGCAGAAGGAGAGCCCGGGTGCTGAACTGGCCCGCCTGCAGTCCAGATCTTTCACCAAAAGAAAACATGTGGCGCATCATGAAACGAAAAATCCGACAAAGAAGACCCAGGACTGTTGAGCAGCTAGAATCCTGAACTATTCGCCTTGCTGTGCAATATTGTACAACTTTAGGCAATGAACTATCACTTTCAGTTTTGAAATTTGTGACTGTAACCATACATGCATTAGTGAGATCCTTCTGGTGTGGGTTTCCTTCCAGTCAGTGATACATAAAAATGCCTAATAGTGCCCTCTTCTGATGAACACAAAAATTCAAACCGTTTACATACTACTTTTTCACAGTTCAAATAACAAATGGTTCCCCATATTGGGAAGACAGGGAAGACCTTGCATATTTCAGCAAGACAATGCTAAACCACATACTGCATCCATCACAACAGAATGGCTTCGCAGAAGGAGAGCCCGGGTGCTGAACTGGCCCGCCTGCAGTCCAGATCTTTCACCAAAAGAAAACATTTGGCGCATCATGAAACGAAAAATCCGACAAAGAAGACCCAGGACTGTTGAGCAGCTAGAATCCTGCATAAGACAAGAATGGGGCAATATTCCTCACCCTAAACTCTAGCAATCAGTCTCCTCACTTCCCAGACGTTTAGAGACTGTTGTTAAAAGAAGAGGGGATGCTACACAATGGTAGGCACGGCCTACTTACAATGGCCAACTTTCTAAATGAGTTAATATTTTTCATGAAATGGTAAAATGTCTCACTTTCAACATCTGATATGTGTTCTATGTTCTGTTGTGAATAAAATATGCTTCTATGAGATCTGCAATGCATTCTGTTTTTATTTACATTTAATTTCATTTTACACAGCGTCACAACTTTTTTGGAATTGGAGTTGTAGAAAAATCGTGAAAAAATGTAAAGGATGGGTTTTCATTCTGCAAAACAAGACTCAAGACTCAAAAACAAGACTCAAAACTCAAACTGCAATGAAAAATGTCCTCTTCTTCTACAAACATACTGTGGTACAGATCAAAAGTTTAGAACCTGTACTTTTGGCAAAATTGGTGCCTGAAGTGAATGCATCCAAATCTGTAGTCTAAAGTACAGGCTCCACATAACAGGGTTGGTGTAACGTCATGTTACAACTAAGCCTCCCAAAGTGAGGAATTTATTACAATAATGATGAATATTTGTCATATTGCCCAGCCCTAATCTCAGCTGAAATTACCAGGTGCTGACCGAAACTGTGTTTCACACAGACCAAAGCCACCCAAAGCAGCTATCTGGCACT